TGTTGCTCTGCTATTTAAAATGGAATATGAATATATCTTGTTTCCATCCTTCTACTTTAAAAGGGCATCAAATATTTATTAACTTTCTATTTTGGTATTGGGAAGATAGATTAGAATTTGACAATCCCCTTAAAAATTAAATATTATGCAAATTCATAGGACAAAGTTATGGGGCATAAGGAGGCATATTCATGCGTGGGGCATGAAACCTCAGGCATCAACCATTTTTCCTTCTTTGAGATCAGAATTATTAATAAATCATGAACTTTATTTTTAAATCAGGCAGGCTGGGGTCCAGGTGACTTTCCTGGAAGGCACACAGAATGTTTGCTGCCCTGGGGAACCGTGAGTAACTTCCACACATCTATTGATTAGAGCATCTTTTGTTTAGGAATCCTGCTTGCATTGTCTTCATAAATAAATTAGTATCCCAATTAATGGAAAAGTAGCCTGTAAAAGGATTTCCCCGTTGGGCCAACAATTTCTTCCCTCTGAAAAATGAAGAAGAAGGGTCAGAACACTCCTTTCTTTTGGCTGGAAATTTTGCCTGGAAATTTTGCCTGGAGGGGGCTGTGCAGACGGCTGTAAGGCTGCGTGCACCTCCAAGCACTGAAGCCTCCCTCGCTAAGTGGCGCTGTCGTTTCTGGGGCCCAGGATCCCTGTGATGAAGGGAGCTTCTGCCTTGTGGCCAGACTTGCAGGCAGCACTGGGGTGTGGACGGACATTGCATTTGATTCCTAGAAAGAGGATTATTTTAGTTCTTTCAGACTACTATAACAAAATAGACTGGGTGGTTAATAAACAAATTCATCTCTCACAGTTCTGGGGGCTGGAAAGCCCAGGATCAAGGAGCCAGCAGATTCAGTGTCTGGTGAGGACCTGCTTCCTGGTTCTTAGATGACTGTCTGTGTGTGTTGGTGGGGGGCGTGTCCTCACGTGGCAGAAGTGGGGAGGGAACTGTCTGGAGCCTCTTTTATAAAAGCACAAATCCTGCTCACGACGTCTCCACCCTCATGACCGAGTCACTCCCAAAGATCCCACTTCCTGATACAATCACAATGGAGATTAGAATTTTAAACATGATTTTTTTTGAGGGGGGAGTGGGACAGACCTTCAGTCCACAGCAAAGAGGCTCCCTCCACTTTGACAGCTGCTGACAGGTGTATTGTTAGTAGTAACTACCTATTACGGAGGTTCTGGGATAAGTGCTATCTCTAAGTTATCTCCTTTGGTCTCAGACGGTCCTATCCAGTAGGTACTCTTATTAATCTCAGTTTCTACTTGTAGAAGCTGAGGCTTAAAGGTTATAGAGGCATCAGGGTCTTTTCCCCCTACCTCAGATCTGCCCCCGCAACTCCCCAGTTTCGGTTAACAGCACCCTTTTCCTTAGTGGAAGTCTTCTGCCCACCCCCTGTGGCTCTAGCACAGTATCCTGTTATAATACCTAGTTCTAATATCCTGCCCTACTGCTCAGACAGTGCGAACCAGTAAAGCAGGACCAGGTAATCTCAGGTAATAATATGATTCTGAAGGGGTTCTTAACATGGACTTCATATCCAGATGTTGAGAGAGAAGCTTTCTTTTTCTTCTAGGGTCATTACATGGAAAATGGAAAATGGAAGTCTGGATCACAATCCTCTCTTTCCCTACATTTTTGGGGAATTTTGCCTGCAGTAGAAGAGAATGAGACAAACACACTAAAAGAAGCAAAGATAAGAGATTGAAAAAAATAATAGTGATATTTTTTGAGTCTCTTGAGGCCAGACCCTTTTCTAGAGTGAGATAATAAATAAGTCCTTTTTGGCTTACTTGTTTGAATTAGAGTTTTGTCAGTTGCAACCATAAGCTTACCCACAATTATGCAAGTCAGGTTGCAAAGCTGGTTTTGAATCTGTGCCTGTCTCTGCTCTGTGCAATACTGTGTTTGGCTTTTCTGGCTATGAGCCAGATATTTTAAAGGAGTCAAGTAACAGGAATACGGGGTTTGAAAGGCATAGGATCACAGCTGACAGACCTACTGTGCAGGACCCTAAGTATTAATTCATGTCCAAATTGTGAGGAGGAGCAAAACTGCACATCTTCTCACGAAAAAAAATTAAAGCATTTCTTTTCCTCCTAGAATAAATCACCACCGCTAGTAACATGAGTTCTTAGGAGGGCAAGAGAATATTTTCTGTGAACTTGGATGTAAACATCTTCATCTAACCTGAATGGTCTTAAGTGGCAGACGGAGGCAGTGATGGTGACTTCTGGGTCTGACTGTGAGGTTGAAGAATAATTGAGAATTAAGTGGATCTCAGGAGTAACTAGTAGAATCTGACCTGCGGCTGGGTCCACCTGCAGTTCTCCACAATGTTGCGTGACTTGTGCTGATAAGCAGATCTCAACATATAAGATCTCCATCTTTCACCCTTTTCCTGATTCATGTATGTATCGCCAGTTGAATGGCTGTCATTTACCATCACGTAGAATTTAATGGTTTTATTCTGTTTTCATTTAAAGAAATACAACAAAAATTATTTTAAGTACACATAGAAAATAAAAGATAATACACATACAGTTTTCCCTATACCCACACAGATATCTATTGCTCATTTTTTCAAGTACTCAGGCACCACTTAAAATATTTGTTCTTGAAGTTCAAAATTGCAAAAGCCCCAGTTGTTGACTAGAATGTAAAAAAGTAGAAATTAATAATTAAAGTATATGCAATAAAGCAGCAATTAAAAACCACTCTTCTAAATAGACCTTGGGTAAAACAGGAAATATCAAAATAGTAGTTACAGGATGGTTGAGAATAATAATGGCTAGAATATTATAAATCTGAATTTATGATATGTGATTAAAGCTTTTCTTAGATGCAGATTCATGGACTTAAAATACACTATAACTAAAAAAGAAATAAAAACAAAGCAACAAAACCTTTAGCTCAAGAAGTTAGGAAAGGAACAAACCTAAGGAGGGAAGGAGAAAGTAACTGATATTAAACTGAAGTACAGTTAATAACTTAGAATATGTGTTTTTTTTAACAGTAGATTTAGTAAATTGAAGGTTGATTCTTTGAGGAAAAATTGGCAAATCAGTATTCAGTCCAATAAGAAAATGGTAATTTCTTTGCATGTAAGAAGCGGGACTTAATGATTTTTGTCTAATTATAACAGCAATATATGCTCAACAGTAACAATAAGAGCTGGAAAACAAAGGAACATAAACAATACAATTTCATAATTTGACACCCCCCATTTTTACTTACAAAATTCTGGTTTAAATTATTTTTCTCCCACAGTATCATCACCCCTTACCCACTGACAGCCTGTTTCTTATCATCTAAGACTGTTCATCTTAGAAATATCACAGAAAAATTATTTCTCTTATTCCTCTGTATTGTTTTGTGTATTTTGACCTTGACACTTCAAATCCACAACTAAAACCTTCATGCCTGGGTAACTACAGATACTTCTCAGCTGGTGTTAGTGCCTCCGTGGTTTCCATTTTTTGGTCCATTTGGCACACCATCCATCAGGAGCTCTTGCCCTAGGGTTGAGGAATACAGCCGCCGTTACAGTCTTGGCCAGAGAGGCTTACGTATGGGCTAGCGAACTCTTGGTTAAATATCCCTACTCTCTTTCCTCCCCTTTTCTCATTTACTGCTGGTGTCTCCCATTGGCCATAGCCAACTGGTTGCCGGAGGGCCAGGGAGCCTGGGTGGTGCAGCCTTTTCATCTGTACGAGTCAGTTACACACAGAGGCTGGCACAGTGGGGAGGAGCCACCTGAGGGCGAAATGGAGATTAGCCAGCATGCTGGCCGCCCCTTCCCCTTCTTTCTCTTCCTCCTCGAGGTAATTTGGCCACATAGACTTTCGCGTTTTCCCTGACTTTGACAGACTCTGAATTCCTGCCTTTGCATATACTGTTTTCTTTGGGAGAAATTCCTTTACTCCATTTCTTTGTCTGGCAAACTCCTATTTATCCTTCAAGGTCCAGCTCAAATGTCACCATTCTTTTACCTACACACATGTAGAGGCTGCAAGGTCCTGAGAATGGGACAAAGAAACAGAAGGTCAGGTCGTTTGCTGTGGCCGTGGGCCAGGTACTTCTCAGATTTTAAGTCCCCCCTCCCCACCTTTTCTTTTTGCAAAATAGGAATGGGAATTGCTCCCTTGACATTCCTTTCCCAGGAAAGTTGAAAAGATCAGTGAGATAAAACGTTCTCTAAAATGCAAATCATTTCACAAATCTAGTTTTGCTGTCGTTGCTTTTACCATTGCTTAGTTTTTTTCCCCTATTACTTCAGATCGATCACAGTGCAAAAGTCAACTTCAGTGGCATTCAAGTACAAATTCAAACCCCTTCCCATACCTTTTTCTTTCTACAGCCCCCTTTTCCTCTTCTGTTCACGTATCCCTTGCCCACCCCTCCGACTCCCCTATTCTTTTTGCGGCTTGTTTACTCTGAATTTAGGTATCCAAGGACGTTGCTTGACTTTGCAGGTACTTTTCACAATTAAAGGTAAGTCATTTAGTAATGATAGGGGTGGAGCGGAGAGGGTAATCCTAACAAAACCCTGCATTCTAAGTTGTGAAGTTCTGGGAGCTGAGAATTCAGACTAGTAGAGTCAGAAACGAACCCCTCGAACGAGGAGGATGCAGGACCAGGCGGCGCTACCGCGCCGCCTCTGCAGCCC